CCAAGTCAAAACAGATATAGATCTGGAAAGGACCTAAGTGAACATCTAGAAATGCTAGTGGTGGACATTAGGAGCCAGCATAGATACATCCAGAATCGATCATGCTAAGCTAAACTTACTCTCTTTCTCAAATCTTGCCTCTGGCCTGTGTGACCTTCTGCTGTTGCTTAACCTCTAAGTGCTCAGTGCTCTAGGCAGCTATCTAGGACTAAGTTGCAAAGATGATATCCACCTGCAGTGATAGAGGGAGTTTCCTCAGCCAGAAATTCCTTATACCATCATAGGTCCAAGCTCTAGCTTATTTCAACTGGTTTACCAGGCTGGTAGCTCTGGACATACTGTTGACATTGTTGCCTTGACTTTATTAAAGCATTTTATAAAATTTCTGACAATTTTTCTGTGAAAAATTTGGATAAGCATGGCCTAGAAATGATATAATTAAACGGATTTAGAATGAGTTGAGTGACCAAAAAAAAAAATTGATGGTGGTTCTGTTTCTGTATAGAGAAATTACCCTTTCTGTCTTCTAAGAAATGAAGAGCTCCCTCAGGAGGTGGTAGGTGGCTATTCTTTTTGACTGCTAAAGTTGTTTCTCTTCCAGTTGGCTGAATTGCTTTTTGAAAAATATAGCCCCTAGAGGTATGGTTGATTCTTTCAGCCAGTTCCTGGATGTTTCCTATGTGGTGACTTTTGCCTCATCCATTGGCCAAGGCTTTATAATCCATTCACTTCCTTATACTTCCTTTCATTGGCCAAGGCCCTAGAATCCCCTAAGTTTGATTAATGAACTTATTCACACCTTAGTATCAGTTACTTCTTGACATCTACTTGATGCTAATGATTGTTTTCAGTCAGGCTAGGTCATACCTGTCCCACATAAGCAGCATTGATCAGAGAGCAATGGTTTGTGACAGGTGTGTCTCCAAAGATGTCTTTGACTTTAATTAATAGACACCAAAATCCCCTGACAAGTGGTCAAACAATTTGAGTCTGAAAACCTTAATACTTTCTCAAGGTTACCTACAGTATGTTTGGCCAGCTCTAATTGTTAGGAAATAAATTCTGTCTTTTTGTAGTTTTCACTCTTGGATTCTACTTTTGCTCACTGGTGACAGAAAAATACAACTAAAATGTCCACAAAATGTTTTCTTTTCTCTAGGCTAAGCATCTCTGTTTCTTTCAAATAACCCTCACATCATGTTTTCAAGTCCCCTCAGGATTTAATTCAATCTTCTCTACAGACATTTTGATATTTCATTATTCTTCCTAATACATGGTAACCAGGAATGGCACAGGCTCAGAACTGCAAATATGATATGAAAAGATCAAAAGACAACTATCCTACCTTAGACAGTTACTAGAGTGTGACCTTTAGGGGTCAAGTAACCTCTCTGGGTCTTATTCACCTCAGATGTTAAAATGAGGCATTTAGACTCTTAGGTTCCTTTTAGGGTTAAATCTATGCTCTTATGACCTCAGAACTACCACCCCTCTCGTTATCAGTTAGATTTGTTCTGAATATTTGTCAGGCTTGAGCTTTGAATACATAATTTTCCCACTTACCTACTATATGCACAGGAATTTCTTTTAGCATTTTCTAGGTGATGCTCCTGGTTTTCCAACACAGCACACTCTACCCACAACAAAACAAAGAAGAACAATCCAGGGGCTGAGGTGATAGGGAAGGCCTGAGGATTCACTGATTCTAGCAGTATAGATCATGTTCCCTTAATGTTAGAAGGTTAAACTGATGTTCTCAGAAAGGGAGAAGTCAAAAATTCTCCCAACTCTTCCTACCTGTGCAGCTATTTATTGGTCCTGTCCATTCAGCTTGGTTCATTGCCACATCTATTGGTAAGAAAGGAGAGCAAACCACTAGAATCTGGCACAAATTCTGAGCAAATGGCAGGATCTGCTGCTCCTCCCCTTTCCCTTAACTCCTCTTCTCTTCTTTGCCTTTCTTTTCTCCTATTCCCTCTTCATTACCATCCTTCTCCCCTTCTCTTCCAACTCCCTATTTGCCACTCTCCTCTATCCATTCCCATCTTCTTTCATCTTCCACTTCTCCTCTAGTCTGAGATTCTTAAGCCAAGTAAAATATGAAGAAACCTATACACTCATTATACCACCTTACAAATAAAGACAAAAAGTAAATACCAAAGACTTTAGCAGCAACAGGAAAAGGTAAGAAGAGAGGGGCTAGTGATAGGGCCAGGCAGGTGTTGTTTTACTTCATGTGTTATCTTTCAGTGTTGAGTGTGGCATGCTGCCTCTGACTATTTCTCCTCCATACCCCAGGGAATATAATAGATAAAGGTGTGAACACAGATTCCTGTAGATCAAGAGGCTATTCCCAGGCTTTCCAGAAGGAAGGGCCTGAATTGGCTTTGAATTGAAAAAAAAATAGAGTTGGTGATGGGGTCAACATCCTTACAGTGGTAGGATAGGGTAGAGGCTACTGTTCTTGCCACAGTTCTGTATCACCAAGACAAGGGTTAGGGCCAAGTGACTGGTTAAAGAGACAATATTGAGGGTAGCCTGAACTCCTAAGCATCCTAAGCACTTTTAAATCCTTTTTCCTGTCACTCTTCAGAGTTTGCTGCATCACAGACCAAGAGCCAGTAACTTGTTAATAAACACACAAAGGAATGAATACATAAATGCATGGATAGAAAAACAAATAAACAAATTAATCAATGAACAAACAAAATAAACAAAGGAATATAGATAGATAGATAGACAAATAAATAATGCAGAAATATATGAATAAATAAAGAATGAAAGTTTGATGATAGAACCAAATGATCATGATAAAGGAAGGCAGTGGCTTTTGTCTTGGATCCCAGCTCCAGATTATCTTGGCCAGGGCCAGGACCCAGGATAGAATTGCTGGCAAAACAGAATGCCTAGAAAATAGATGGCCTCAGGTTTTTGCATCTCAGTCTCTTTTCCAATCCTTTTTCCTATTACTCTCCAGAGTGAGTTAAATCCATGAGCAAGAACCAGCAGCCCTCTATCACTGCCATATTAACTGCACTGCCATTCAGAGAAAAACTGAATTTGGATCACTAGGCACCTTGGGAGCAGAATTCAATTATTATTTAAAAGAAACCATTCCAAAAAGCATTTATTAAGTTCCAACACTTTATCACAAGAGTTGGGCCCTGAATGAGAGACATAACAAAATAAGGATCATAGTGGCCTCTAGGAACTTCCACTGAATCAGGACTGATAAGACATCTACAAAAATAAGTGTATTATGAAAGATTATAATAAATAAGACCTTGCCAGACCAGTAGAGGGTAGGACACTGAGGCAAGACATTTTATAAAATAAACTTTTATTGCTACCTTCAGTTTTTATACTCTTCTTTTCCCCTTATAGACTTTCCTATCCCTCTTCTCAGAGAGCTATCATACCAAAGATGTTGATACTTTCTTTATGTCTCCAATAAAAAATCAGATATTTACACTCAATGGCCATAGGCTAAAGGACTGAAGGTCAAGACAATTATGGTCACTATTGGGAACCCTGAGGCCCATTACTCTGAAAAGGGAAAAAAGATGAGAACACAGTGCTACTGCAGAAACTAGCAGCACTTAGAAACATAGGAGTTCTCATCTTTTGAGGGAAGATGAAAGGGAGGAGCTTAAAGGGAGAAGTGGTAAAAAAGACAACAACAACTTAGTTCTAAAATATTTTGCTGGTAATGCTCTGAGGAAAGAGCTAGCCTTGTAATTTCTTTTCTCTTGGGAAAAAAAATGAAATCCTTATGTTATAAAAATGACACGATCTGATTAGTGAATCATAATTGTGAGAAGGAACAAAAATGAGCAACTAAGGGGAAAAATACCCATGTTTAAAAATATCTAAGAAAGGAATCACAAGAAAGTTTCACTTGGCATCGAAGGGCAAGACAACTCTGGTCTGAAGGGCCTAGGTATGAATACCATTGTGAATTGTATCCCATTATTATGCAAAAGGACAAAGGTGAGAATTCAGCCCAATCAGAGAGTTGGAGAGCACTACCACAACACAGGATTTCTCACCTTTTGTGCATGGAGTAAAGGGAGGGGCTAACAAAATGAAGACATATAAAAAGACTCCAACAACTTAGTCCTAAAAATTTTTGCTGCCAGAGCTCAAGGGAGAGAGCTACTGTTATTCCTGAGAGGAATATTGGAGGACAGACTCAGAGGTAAGCTTCTTTTGGGATTTTGTTCCACATATTCTTTTAAAAAGCCATCTTAGTTCAGTAAAGGAATAATCAAGTAGAGAGGAGACAAAAATGAGAGGCTGAGGAGAAAAAAATCTGCATTTAAGCTTTGTTTTGTGGGGAGGTAGAACTCCCCGCAAAGACAGTGAGTTGGGGTTTTCCTTGCCTTGTTGTCATGTTGGATGATCAGAAATGTACTTGTCCTCAGCCTTTGAAATGAGATCTGTTATTCTTAAACTACTCAAAAAAGTAGTAAGATTGGCCAAAGCAGAGAATTTCAGAAGTATTTAAGAGAAAGTAAAGCTATTTTCTTCAGAAGACAGTGATCCTGAAGTGTGTGGTAAGAGGAAGAGAAGGTGAGAGTAAGAAATAGTAAAAGAGAACCTTCATCATCTAGGTTCCTTGGAGGAGAGAGCTCAGATTCAGCACTTAGACCATCAGCTCCCATGGTACCCAGGGGAAAAACTGTACAAAAAAATAGCTCGTTAGCCTCTTCAACATGACTAAGGATGAGACTCCCTATAAGACAGACTTCATGTGGAAGACAGATGTCATAAGACAGATCTCTGAGTCCCAGGATTCTTAGGTTACCTTTATCTATTTGAAGGTAGGCATGACACTTGGTATCCCCAATGTATCTGCTCAGGATGTGTGGTAGATATGGGTTCACCTTTGTTGCAGATGCTCTATTGCCTCTGAACATAACCTGTATAAAAGTTCTGAGATGCTTTGGATGACAACAGGAATGCTCTGGTCAAAATTTTCACTGACTCTTTCTTCCCAGGTGTATGAACATGGATGACAAAGAATTATTGGAAAACCTCAGGGCAGATCTCATTTGCTCTATCTGCCTGGGCTACTTCACTGACCCAGTGACTGTCAAATGTGGGCATAGCTTTTGCACAGAGTGTCTTGTAAAGTGCAGGGAGGGAGCTGAGGACATACTAACCTGCCCAGAATGCAGACAAGTCATCCAAATCAGCAATTTGGTGCCCAACAAAAACCTGCAGAATCTGTCCATCACTAGCAAAATAATCAGACCTCATTTACTTCAGAGCATAGTAGGTCTGATTACCTGTGATCAACATGGGGAAAAAGAGAAGCTCTTCTGTGAGGAAGACAAGAGGTCCATCTGTGATTCCTGTTTTTTAGCCTCAGAGCACAAGGATCACCAAGTCCTTCCCTTGGACAGGGCTGCCGACAAGTGCAAGGTAAGAGTATCTGCTCCCTATCAATCAGTCTCAGGGCAAGAATGGTATCTGTTTATTTAATTCTTTTTATGGCCCTTTGGGGACACTGCCATATTAGACATACAGCTCAACCTAAAGGGTACAAGGAAAATCTATGGGCCTCACAGCTGTAACTTCAATGACAACTACACAACCCACTTATTGTTACTAGCCTTCCAGATCCTTCTTGGCTTCAGTGTTTTCATCTTTAAAATAGCAGTAATAATAATAGCCACTAACTTTTATGGTTATTGTTAGGTTCCAGTGGAGAAGACATGTAGTCCTTTGATAGCCTTGAAGGGGTATACAAATTTTGCCTCTTACTAGCCAGCAATTCTAAAGCAATTCTTTGGTCTAAAACTGGTTTGGCTAAGCTAAGGCTTTGTTTTTCTTGCAGGAGAAGCTCCAGGAGACATGGAATATATTACAGAGAAAAGAGGAAGAATTTAAAATTTCATTGGACAATATGAGAAGGAGAAAGGCACAGTTTAAGGTCAGTGTCTGTTTTCTTGATGCAGAAAGTGAGAGGCGTATTTGTCACTCGAAGGCCTTTCTCACCTCTCATGAGGAAGAATTCATGAAAATGGTAAGAAAAGAGTGCTTTTTTTCTGCAAAGGAAGAGATTTATATTAATTTTAAATAAATTATATTTAAATATAAATTATATCATATATCATATATATAATTGTACATTATATATTATATATGTTAATGATCAAAAGATGAAATGAGTCTTTGGGAGGAATAGTTTGACACTTAATGATAGTAGAAGAACTTTGTTTTCATGTAAACTGGTAAATTATAAGTATGAAAAAAACAGTTTCCAGACATGATTTGGATATTTTTGGGAGAAAATGATCGCTGATGTATTTTTTGAAGACTTTTCCTTATACAGTATCTCTCTCTCTAATCTTTTCATCATTAACTACACCTTAAAAAAGGTCTTTTAAATGACAATATATCTCAGAAATCCTGAAATAGAAGATGCAGACTAAACAGCTAGAAAAAGCTGTGTCTGGTAACAGACTCTATGGATCTTCTTTGATGACCAATAGTATTTAATAGGGAAAACTAATGTTGGCCAGTCACCCCTTCTGTCATGGACTTTTCACTTCTTTCCTTCATCCTAATTTCGCTTGTTACAGGAGGATACATATACTATTTAACAGTCCATTATATCAGAATATAAGAAAATGCACCAGTTCTTATGGGATGAAGAATGTATACACCTGCAAAGATTGGACCAGGAGTCCAGAGAAAATCTGTTAGAAATTGAGGAGAAGATCGCCAAACTATCACAACAAATCCAGAATCTGCAGCAAAGGATATTAAAAGTAGAGGTGAATTTGGACAAGGCTCCCTTGGAAATGCTTCAGGTGAATGTGTGAAAGAGATATGTACTATTGCCTCAGAAATGAGAAGTGACGTGCCCTATCATATACAGAACACTAAGAGAAGGGTCTCAGGACCTTTGGTAGAATGGGTCAGTTCAGGCTTTTCAATGGATTCTGCAAACGCATTTATTTTCTGATGAACAGGGGTGAGTGTAAATTTCCTATAGCCAGACAACAGCACAAAGATTCTTAAAGGCTAGGGCACTTCAGTATAAGAGTGGGCTATGAGTTTCTATACTTGTCACATGTTGAGTTGATTCAAATTGGTAATCACATGACCATGCTTGAATCTCCTGATTCTCTCAGAGCAACCATGTACCTCATTTCCTTGGTGAAATGAGGTGAGCTAGATTTTTCCTTGAGGGCCCATTTCAGAAGGAATAGTTAATAATTCTATAATTCCTTATAGCAAAGCTTAATATGAGGTCATGGGCAAAAATGCAAAATAAAAAAAATAAGGCAACCAATTAAGCGCTTATAAAATACCTACTGTTTGCCAGGTACTATACTAGGCTCTGCAAATAGCAGTAAAGAGAATGAAACAATTCTGAAGGATGAGTAGTTGGCAATTTACTCAAAAAGACATCAAAGACATAAGTAAAGAAATATTAAATGAATAGAAAGAGAACTATTTTATGTTAGTTTGAAACGGAAAGGCAGAGAAGTTGGGGAAGAAGGGAATAAGGAAAAATCTGAAGAAGAATGGCAAAGTTAAGCTGTATCATCAAGGAAAAGAAGAATTCCTGGCTCTATGTGGCAGAGTTGAGGAGAGAGTTAATTCCTGGCTTGGGAGATTTCCAGTGATCTCCTTCAAAAAATTTGAGCATCCCTGGGCTCTGGCTTGATAGTGTTTGCACAGTTAGAGCCTCACTACCTAAAGTACCCTGGCAGGAAACCTCAGTTCAAGCTTCTAAGTTCTATTTCAATTAAATCTCTTTAAGATGAAACTATGCTTCTACAGTCTCAGAACCCGCATTGCCCACATACACCAACCATCCAAAAAGGTGACTACCAGTCTCCCAGACCCCCAAACCTTTTACAGCTATTTTATTGGTTGTTCTATTATTCAGGGTAAACAAAAGTTTGCCTCTGTCAAATGAAATTTACTTCAAAGGGAAGAAGTGAGAAGGGCAGGGCAGAATGACACTCTTCTCACGATGAAATCATCTCTCCATCTTCAGAGAGTGGGGTGGGGTGGTGGCATGAGGCCCATCAGACAGCAGCCAAAGTCTGGTGTTAAACAATTCTGCACAAACTTACACTGCGCAAATATGGTAATGTTCTTGGAAAAGAATTCTTAGGGAGTGACAGAACTTTGGGGAGGTATGCCTGGGCTCTCAGAGAAAGACAATATTACAGAAAATAGACTAAGGAGCAGAACACTAAATCTCTTTATTTTTTCCCTTCAGGATATGAAAGACACCTTGGCAAGGTAAGCTTCCATTCCGTGTTTAACTAATTCAGCAATACAAAATCTGTAAGGGAATCTGATTGTTTGAAGGGGCTAATTGGGGTCTACTCTGCTGAAATATAGTAACATATGTGATGCCAACCAGACTGTGGAGCTCTGTAGAACAAATGTAATCAAGTGTTTTCTGTTTATAGGAATGAGGAGCTGCTACTTCAAGAACCAGAGGTTCCTTTACCTTTCTGGAGCACCTGCCCCATCACTGGCTTAAGAGAAATTCTCATGAGCTTCCAGAGTAAGTTACTGTACCAATCTCAATTGATGTTGGAAATTCCTAGGAGTCCCCATAAGGTTTACAATGTATTTCCTCAGTGTGTGCTACTAGTATGCACAAATGACCCTTTTCCTCAGCCCCTGCTACCCCATATAGGTGATTTCTATCCTCATGTGTCTACTGAGATGCTTTGCCTGTGATATCTCAACAGGCCTGAATAGCTGGACCATTTCACAGCTGTAGCAGCAGTGAATTCACGTACCTAATATCATACTTGCCGTGAGTCATGACAAACAGGAGAGACTATGCAGTGGCAGCCCTGCATTTTCTGTGGGCTGCCTGAAATCCTTTGGTGGGCTGCAAGCCACCTGCAGGCTGTATGTTGCGAAGGCCTGGTCTAAATACTTTAACAAAGTCCTGCCTTGCAAGATTCTCTCTTTCTTCGTCAGCATTCTCAAGCTACTTGCTTCTAACTCAGTGTCAGGGGTTTTCAGCAGTCATTCAGTTCTTAATACATGTAAATGTTCCTGACCTACTGCCTCTTTTTTCCTCTTTCCTCCCTTCCTTTATCTCACCCTCTCTCACCTTCTTTCTTTCCTTTCTCCATCTTTTTATCTCTACCTCCCTTCCTCAGCATGTTCTCTCTTTCCTTTCTCCTACCATCCAGATGTATAACTATTTTACGTACTTAGTGGGATACATTTTACACCGTCTCGACTATGTATCCATGTAGGTCTCAAGTTCCTTCTGATAGATTCTAAGCTCCATGAGGACAGGGATCACTGAAAGAATTGAAAACAGTGAATTCTTCTTTTGGCTGGTCTTTGTAAAAAGTGGTTTGTACAAAAATACTGTTTCTACAAAGCACTAAATGTTCACAGTCTCCACCTGTGCTAATATATACTGTAAATTATTATGCCACTATAATACATTCTTCATCTACTTACCAAATATCTTGTAAGACCTGACTTGAACATAAGACTGACTTGAACATAGTGAATGCTTAATAATATATTCTTAAATATTCAATGAATGCCTTAAAACATAAAATAGCATTTAAAGCTGAAAGGGTCCTAAAGTTTATCTGCTTGAATCTCACCTTCATTTTACATACAAAGAAACTGATCCACTAGAAAACTTAGGTGCTTGTCCAAATAAGTGTCAGAAGCAGGAAAATCCCCTTGAGAGTCCTTATATAATCCCAAATGAATTGTGACATGTCCCACATTGTTATGTTGTTTAGGATTAGGGAATTTTTCTTTGTTTCTAAACTCCCAGTCTGCAACTAGGCTATTTATATTTTTTTCCTTTTTTCTTTAGGGGATATAACTCTAGATCCTGAAACAGCTCATCCTAATCTCATCCTGTCTGAAGATTTGAAGAATGTCAAGTATACAAGTGTCCCCCAGGATGTACCTAACAACCGAGAAAGATTTGACTGTGCTCTTACTGTATTAGGAGCCCAGACTTTCACCTCAAGCAGACACTATTGGGAAGTGAAGGTGGAAGATAAAACAGAATGGTCAGTGGGCATCTGCACAGATTCAGTCAGTAGAAATGGGAGACTCTCCCTCTTATCCAAGGATTTAAGAACTCTAGTTGGCTTCAAATATGGAAATGATTTCTTTCTCTGGAATTCACAAAATGGCTTTCATGAGAGCCCACCTATTCACAAGATGGGCATTTTTCTTGATTATGAAAGGGGACATATAGCATTTTATGACGTCTCAGATAAATCCCTTATCTACAGTACCCCAAACATAACCTTTCAAGGACATCTTCACCTTTACTTGTCTCCTTGTTGTCCTAATAAAGAAAATATCCCTGGATGCCCCTGGCCTAATCAGGAGATGCCTATCAATAATTACCATGGAAGACTCTCACTTATAAGTGACTGAAAAGTGACACTGCAAATGACTTTCTATTCACTCGAATTCATATTGAAATGTTCAATAAAGATATGTATGATTATCAAACTATCAGTAAAGTCCATCTTGTGTATATTTGGTATAAGTCCTAGTGTGTCTCACTTTGTATCAACATCCAATGTGTCCTACCTTACTGACACTTCACTGAGAGTTTCAGCAATATTTTAGAAAGTTAGTCTAAAGATGGGAAGTTACTATTTTCTTATAATAAATGAAATTGAATTTTTCTCTGTATATGAACACACGTGTGTGGGTGGGTGTGAATTCTTATCATTCTTCATTCATTAGAGTATTTTCCAAGTGGATGGTATGCTTATCTTCTTTTTTTTGTTTGCTTGTTTTGTTTTTGTTTGTTTTGTTTTGTTTCTTTTCTTTTCTTTTTTTTTGATGAGGCAATCTGGGTTAAGTGACTCGCCTAGGGTCACAGAGCTAGTAAGTATCAAGTGTCTGAGATAGGATTTGAACTCAGGTCCTCCTGACTCCAAACTCAGAGCTCTATCCACTGCACCACCTAGCTGCCCCCCTCATCTCCCTTAAGCCATTATTAATTTTATCTAAAAAATTCTGCTTTATTCTAAGGCTTGAAACATCCGTTCACTAATTCTCTGAGAGATAGCACTATTTGGCAAAAAAAACCCCAAAACATTCTACATTTTGAACTTGTGAACAGTGACATGCTTATCTTTTGCAAGAATATGCCTTGAAAATGGCCATGTTGCTTTGAACATGAGTCTATCTCAGAGGGCTATTGACAGGTGCCTTCCAGGTGTAAGTAGCTTTTAGCACCCTAAAACCAAGGAATTATAAAGGAGAACTTTGCTTCATGCAACTATAGGAGTACAAAAAGAGGATAGGTTGACAACTGGCTATTCAAAAACATGAAACATTGAAAAATTCCCCTAGCACCATGGATGAATCTTCCATGTTGAACTTATAAGGAGTATATAGACAAAAATCACATAAAATGTTAGAGTCAGTGGAGGATAGAAGGGCCTGGCAAGTTATGGTCCATGTCTCCACAAAGATTCAACAGGACTCAACAACAGCAATAACAAATATTTTATGGTCTCCATCTTTAGAAGTTTGAGTGAAACCATAAATGAACAAATATAAATTATTTTATATGACAACAATGCCTTCTTGGGTTTTGACTAGTAGATTCCCTTCAGGAAATAAGAAAGCACTCCTGATGAGTATTCATGAAATGCTTCAAGACAATTTTGAGAAGGGCAGAGCCCTTATCCCATTAGAATGAGGATACAACTAGATGATTCAGTTTGTAGATCACTATGCCTCCAGTTAGGATTACTTTAGTTGAAATTTGACCTGAGATACTTGCTAGCAGTATGACTCTAGGCAAGTCACTTAACCTCTGATTGCTTCAGTTGCCTCAGCTGTAAAATGGTGATAACAGCATGTATCTGTCAGAGTTGTTGTGAGGATTAAATGAGATGATATTAGTAAAGCACTTGATAGCACAGTCCCTGGTACTATATAAAATGCTTATTCTCTTCTCCTTCCCTTCTCCATTAGTGACTTGGAGGATTTCTCCTAACAGAAAGTTGTTTGTATAACTGCAATGTCTTCTGTGACAAATAAGACATGTTATTCTATTTCATTTTTATTTGTTAGAATATCAAATACCACTGAGTAACAGCTACATGAACAAAAGAGACATCTGTGTCTCTCTTTCCATCACCACTTTTCTACATATTCTTGAAGAAACATCAAAATGATGTTTCAATTATACCCTTCCTCCCTTTATCATCTTTCCCATTCTTCAACCATTGCCACTTTCTTCTACCCTCTTCTACCCCTCTCCCTTTTCTCCATCGTTTTCCCCTTCTGTCTTTCCCCATGTGATTCAACTTTCTACTTCTACTTTCCCCTCCCTTTTCATCTTTTCACTCCTCCTCTCCTGCTTCCCCACTTCTACCAGGCCTCAACTCCCACTTCTACCTTGAAGTTATTAATCCAAGTCAGACACCCCAAAACCTGACTATTCAAACCCACTCCTTGTTAAAGATAAAAAAACAGAATAAAATTAATGTTTTCTAGGACAAGGACAGGTTTAGATAAGGAGAGTGATTGGTCTGAGTAGCTAGGGGTTGCCACAGCCTCCATTTTTCATTTCATGCTGATCTAGACCCATTGATGCTGTCTCTCTCAAGCAACAACCAATCTCTCACTTTGTTATAGTGATAGAACTACTTTAATGGCTTGCTAAATGTCTCCAATCTATCCCTGTTTAAATCCAATGACTTACCTGATGTACCTTTACCTTATTCAGATTTCACCATGTTCATTTATTATTGAAAGATCTTCAAAGATTATCTCCTACTCAATAAAGTACAAACATCGTGAAGGCATCCAAATTATTTTCCAAACATGATTCCTTCCTCATTGCCATCATTCTCAAGCTACTTGGCTCCAACTCCGTCAGGGATTTTTATTCATTGAGCTCTACATATTTCTAGGACTTCATGTTCCTCTCTCTGCTTTCTTGCTTTTCTCCCTTCCTATCTTTCTTCCTCTTTCCCTTTGCCTTTCTTTCCATTCTTTTTCTTCCTTCAGCCTTCTTTTTTCTTTTCCTTTTTCCTTCCTTCCTTCCTTCCTTCCTTCCTTCCTTCCTTCCTTCCTTCCTTCCTTCCTTCCTTCCTTCCTTCCTTCCTTCCATCTTTCTGTCTTTCCCTTTTTCTTCCTTCTATAACTCTCAGCTTTTCCTTACACTTATTAGAGGTATAATTCCCTTCCTCTTTCTTCCCATATCTATGTGGAACTATTCCAATATCATCTGTTTTCAGAATATGTGGGTGTATTGAAACCAATGTTTCTGTTCACTGGCAAACAAACAAACAAACTTAAAACAAAAACCCAAACTGGTTCCACCAAAGACTGCATTTTTGGAACTCTACCTGTGTTACTGCAAAGGTATTATTCACCATTAGCATTTCTCGTGTAGACCATATATAATAATTTCTCTGTATTTGTCAAGATCTAGCATTCTACTTGTCCAGGGGATGCCCCTAAACAATGGCTGTTAATTATTCAATGTATGCATTAATGAATGAATGAATGCAGTGTGTAGAGGGAATGCCATAAAACATAGAAATTATATGTCACAAATTAGAAGATACCTCAGAGATTGCATCAGCTAATACAACCTTCCTCCTTTTTTGTACAAGGAAACTCTATCATAGAAAAAAGTAGGTCATTTATTTAAATAAATTTCACAGGTAGGATAATCCCTTAGAGTTATGATATAATCCCAATTTGGAGTGAGACTGGCGCCCCATGATATGCAGTTCTCCCTTTTGTCTTGGATATTAACCTTCAGGGTCTGGAGACCACATTTGATTACCCCTCTTCCTTTTTCTGTAGGTGATATAACTCTAGAGCCTGAAACAATCAATCACCATCTCATTTTTTCTGATGATTTGAAGAGTGTTAAATATGTTAGTGCCCTGCAGTATCTTCCTGACAACTGAGAAAGATCTGACCATGCTCTCACAATTAGACACTCAAAACTTCACCTTAGACAAACACTATTGGGAAGTAGAGATAGGACATAACACAGAGTAGGAAGTGGACATCTATAAAGAATCTTAAAAATTAAATGTGAGATGAATAAAAATTGAATGTTAAAAACTATTGAATTTATAAATAAAACTAGGAGTTGGTTTTATGAAAAAATGATAAAATAGATAAACCATCGGTTAATTTGATAAAAAAAGAAAGAAATCACTTGAGTGAATATACTGCTAGGGTGAATATGCCATTAATGAAGACAAAATTAAAGCAATTAAAAGAAGTTATTTTGCCCAATTATATGCCAACAATTTAAAAATTTAAGTGAAATGGAAGAATATTTACAATATAAATTGCCTAGATTAGAAGAGGAAATAGAATATTTAAATAGACCTATGTTAGGAAAAAAATTGAACAATAGTGACTATAGATGCAAAAATCTTAAATAAAATACTAGCTAAAAAGATTACAACAGTATTTTTACAAAGATTATACATTATGACCAAGTGAGATCTATACGTGGAATGCAGGAATGGTTTAATATAAGGAAAACTGTTAGCATAATTGATTATATCAATAATGAAAGTAAAAAATAGTTATATGATTATGTCAATAGATGCAGAGAAAACTTTTGATAAAGTACAACACTAATTTCTATTAAAAACATTGAAATTAACTTTTTACTCAAATACTTTTTACTTAAATTGATAAAAATGCATTAATCTAAAACCATTAGTATGCATTATTTGTAATGAGGATAAGCTTCACCGTAAAATCAAGTAAAATAACGATGCCCACTGTCACCAACATTATTCAATCTTGTATTGGAAATCCTAAGAGCAATATGAAAAGAAAAAGAAATAGAAGGAATCAGAATAAGGAATGAAGTAATACAACTATCTGTATTTGCAGATGAAATGATGATATACCAAGAAAATCCCAAAGACTAAACTAAAAAATTAATTGAAACAATTATTAATTTTAGTGAAGTGGCAGGATATGAAGCAAATCCAGGTAAATCATTTACATTCCTGTATAGCACAAACACAACCCTGCAAGAAGAGATAGTAAGAGATATCCCATTTAAAAATACTCTAGGCAGTATCAAATATCAGGGAGTACACCTGAGAAAACACACCCAGGAACTACATAAAAGAGCTAGCATTACCTCTCCTCAGAGGAATATCTCAGAAGGAAGGAAGGAGAGATGTTACACTTGGACTTGAGGGGCAATACTACTTTGGTTGAAGGGCCTAGGTGTAACCACTATTGTGAATGGAAGCTAATTGCTCTACAAAAGAATAGAGGTGAAAACTCAGGCCCTATACCAGAGATGGAAGCAGTATCAAACCACAGGAGTTCTCACCTTTTGTGGGTGGAGTGGAGGGAGGGGCTAACCAAAGGAAGACACATAAAAAGACCCCAGCAACTCAGTCTTAAAAACTTTTGCTGCCAGAGCTTGAGGGCAAGCACTACTGTTATTTCTCCTTAGAAGAATATTGGAGAAGGACAGAATCAGAGGCAAGAATCTCTTGGGAAAATATTTCTTTTCTCCATACACTTTAACAAAGGCCATTTCCATCCAATAAAGCAGTCATAAATTAGAGAGGGGACAAAAATGAGAGGCTGAGGAGAAAAAAAATTCTACATTTAAGGTGTGTTTTTTGAGGGGAGAAGTTAGGGGTACAGAGATAAAGATAAATTTTCATTGACTCTCCCCAGGTATAGGAACATGGATGCTAAAGGCTTACTTGAATACCTCAAGGCAGATCTCACTTGCTCCATCTGCCTGTGCTACTTCACAGACCCGGTAACTGTCAAATGTGGCCACAATTTTTGCACAGAGTGTCTTCTAAAGTGCAGGGAGGGAGCTGATGCCACATTAATCTGCCCAGAGTGCAGACAAATCATCCAAATCAGTAATTTGGTGCCCAACAAAAATTTGCAGAATCTTTGTATCACTGGCAAAATGATCAGATATCATTTACTTCAGAGTGTGGTGGGCCTGGCCACCTGTGATCAACATGGGGAAAAAGAGAAGCTCTTCTGTGAGGAAGATAAGAGACTCCTCTGTGAGTCTTGTTTAATAGTCCCAGAGCACAAGGATCACCAAGTCCTTCCCTTGGACAAGGCTGCTGACAAGTACAAGGTAAGAGTGTCTTCTCCTTATCAATCAATCCCAGTGGAGAAATGGCATCTGTTCATTCAACTGTCTTTGGGTCCACTGTCATATTTTATGGGCAGTTCAACTTAATGGGTACAAAGGAAATGTAGGGGTGTCATATCTGTGGCTTCAATGAGAAGTACACAACCCACTTATTGTTACTAGCCTTCCAGATCCTTCTTGGCTTCAGTGTTCTCATCTTTAAAATAGAAGCAATAATAATAGGTACTAACTTTCATAGTTGTTGTGAGGTTCCAATGGAAAAGACATACACTTTTGCTAGCCTTAGAGGGGTTTGTAAATGCTAGCTCTCACTAGCCTGCGATTCTAAAGCATATTGGTTTTTGGTCTTTGGTCTAAAACAGAGGTTTGACTAAAACTTTGTTTTTCTTACAGGAGAAGCTCCAGGAATCATGGAATATCTTACAGAAAAAACAGGAACAATTCAAAATTTCATTGGACAGTATGAGAAGGAGAGAAACACAGTGTAAGGTCAGTGTCAGTTTTCTTGATGAGGAAGGCAAGAAGTGTATTTCTCCTTTCTCATTGGGAAGAATTATTGATGAAAATGGTGAGAAAAGAGTGCTTTGCTTCTGCAAAGGAAGAGATTTATATTAATAATCAAAGGATGAAGTAAATTATCAGTCTTTTGGGGGAATAATCTGACACCTAATGATAGTAGAGGAACTTCGTTTTCATGTAAACTGTTAAATTACATGTATGAAGGAACAGTTACCAGACAAGATTTGCATATTTTTAGGGAAAAAGTGATCTCTGGTATATTTTTGAGGATTTCTCTTTTATACAACATCATTCTCTATACCCTTCATCATTAACTACTCCTTTAGAAAAGGTGCTTCAAGAGACCGTGTGTCTCAGAAGGCCTGAAATAGAAGGGGTAGGCCCAGAAGCCAGAAAAGTTGTCTGGTATCAGAGTCCAATCTCTGTAGATAACTCATAGTATTTAATAGGGAACACAAATATTGGCCACTAAGTCCTTCCATCATGGACTTTTCACTTCTTTCCTTTTTCCTGATTTCTTTTGGGACAGGCAGATGCTTTTGCTCTTAAACAGTCAATTACGTCTGAATATGAGAAAATGCACCAGTTCTTATTGGATGAAGAGTGTCTGTACCTGGAAAGAGTGGACCAGGAATCCAAAGACAAGCTCAGAAGACTGGAAGAGAAAAAGACCAAAGTGACACAACAAATCCAGGATATGCAACAAATGATGTTAAAAATAGAGGAGAACTTGAACAAGGATCCCTTGGAAATGCTCCAGGTGAGTGTGTCAAACAGATATATACTATTGCTTAAAAATGAGGAGCAGAAGGCACATGCCCTGTCACATACAGAACACTAACAGAAGGGTCTCAGGACCATTTGATAGAGTGGATTGGTTCAGGCTTTTCAATGCTTTCTCAAATTCATATGTTTTCTGATGAGAAAGGCTAGATATAAATCTACTATAGTTAGAAAATGTGCAGCACAGGGATTCTTAAAGGCCAGAAACTTACAGCACAAGCATGTGCTATAAGTGTCAACAGCTGTTATATGTTGCTCTGAAATCAAATTTGTAATCATATGAACAAGAAGCTCCTGATTTTCTCAGAGGACCCATATACCTCATTCCTAGGACAAGCAAACTGTTGACTCTATCAAATGAGTTTTCTGTGTAAGAGAGGGAGAGAGGAGGGCAGGGCACATTGATACTCTTCTCACAATGAAGTCATTCTCCATCTTCAGGAAAGGCCAATCAAAGAGCAACCAAAGTCTAATTCTAAACAATTCTGCACAGACTTAAACTGTGCAAATATGGTAATATCCCTGGAAAGGAGTTCTGAGGGAGAGACAGAACTGTGGGGAGATGTGTCTAGGCTCTCTGAGAAGGATGATATTATAGAAAATAGACTAAGGAGTAGAACACTAAATCTGTTTATTTTATCCCTTCAGGATATGAAAGACACCTTGGCAAGGTAAGCTTCCATTCCATGTTTAACTAATTCAGAAATACAAAATCTGTAAGGGAATCTGATTGTTTGAAGGGGCTAATTGGGGTCTTCTCTGCTGAAACATAATAACATATGTGATTCCAATCAGACTCTGGAGCTCTATAGAACAAATGGGAGCAAGTGTGTTCTGTTTATAGGAATGAGGAGCTGTTACTTCAAGAGCCAGAGATTGTTTTCCCTGCCTGGAGCACCTGTCCCATCACTGGCTTGAGAAAAATGCTCAGGAACTACCAGAGTAAGTAACCCATATTAGTCTCAATTGACATTTGAGAAATTCCCAGGAGTTCCCATATTGTTTGCAATGTATTTCCTTAGTGTGTGCTACTAGTATGCACAAATGACCCTTATCCTCAACCCCAACTACCCTATATGGATAATTTCTACCTTCACTTGACTAATGAGGTACTTTCCAATTTTCCTCTTCAATATCTCAACAGGCTGGAATGATCTTACTTATTTCATTCAAACACTCATTTCCCTAAATGGCTGGACCATTTCATTGCTGTAGCAGCAGTGAATTCATATGCTTAACATCTCATTTAACTATCAACTTTGAATTGTTCTGTTTTATCATCTTTGACCAATTGATATGTGTGAAATTAAACTTCAGAGGCTCAAGAATAATTTATCTAGTTATGGATGATTATGTATTCTTTTGAATATTCCTGTTGGTTTTATATTTTGCTTTTCTGATTAGTTTATTCATACAACATAGCCAATTCACCAGTTGTGGAATGGCTCTTAAGATTTTTCCTAATTCTGTATGGATTCTATATGTATCACACTGCTCTTTATGATGATTTTTATATAGGAAGGATGAAGTTTGGGTATTTCTTATTGTACGTCCATTTCTTCTTCATAAATTGCATTTTTGTACTTGTTGAACTTTTGGCCTTTCATTCTGGTAGGTTTTTCTTTTCTTGGTAGTGCTTATATTTTAAAAATTTAATATTTTATTGTTCCCAAATCACAAGTAAAAACAATTTTAGCTTTCTTTTAAGAACAACTTTGACTTCCAAATTCTCTTTTTTCATCATATTTAGCCCCAGCCCTCATTGAGAAGTCAAGCAATTCGATACAGATTATACATGTACAGTCATGAAAACATATTTCTATGTTAGTCATGTTGTGAAAGAAAATACAGACAAAAAATAAATGAAGAAAAATAAAGTAAAGAAAAAGTATGCTTTGGTCTGCTTTCATACTCTGTTAATTCTTTCTCTGGAGATGGATAGCATTTTTCATCACAAATCCTTCAGAATTGTCTTGGATCATTGCATTGCTCAGAACAAGTGCTCATTCTTTGTATTAGGAATATTTTAATACTCAGTCCCTTTTCCATTGTATTAGCTTTCCTGTTTGGTAGCTTGTGCATCTTTTAGGAAAGACACCAATTGTTAGTGCCTGAGTTTTCTGTGATGCTTTCTTTCCATTTCTTAGGCTGTATAGGAAATCTGGGCTTATATAAATACTCACCCCGCATTTTTCTCGGAAGGTTGGGTAGAGCAAAAGAAGTTTATAGGCCAAAGAGCCAGTACAGATAGTTAAATCGAATATTCTTGAGAAAGGTCGTAATTTATTCTCAGAATAATAATCAACAATATATTGTAGAGAGAATAGAAGGAACTAAAACTCCAGACAAGGAAGGAGAATCCATCTTCCTCTGAGGGAATAGAAGAGATGACAGGGGAGGAAAGAGAGATGTTTCAATAAATATTGGTATGGAGTGACAGAATGACATTTCAACTATAGAATAGTCAAGTAACATGTTTTCCCTGGAATTTCAGTAAAAAATATCCTATTGCTTTCCTATTGGTCAGGCAGACTGAGTCGTTGTCCAGTTCCATATATCCTTTCACCTTCTAGTAACGGCCTATCACTCAACTTGGCATAGCATTGGAAATGCTAAAATGTGTTTGTAAATGTTCTTTGTGTCTCTAATCTTCCCCTATTCCAATCCATCTCTTCCTGGGAGTTGCTGATGAACCTTTGATCTTATTCAGATTTCATTAAGTCATTCTACTATCTAAAGCCTCTTCCACATTGAGTGTTTCTTACACAATAATGTCTCTACACTTTCACAAGGTCCTGCCTTGCAAGATGTCTTCTTTCCTTGTCAGCAGTTTCCAAGTAGTCATCACTTTCTGTACATATGTAGGGCTTCCTAACCCCCTGACTCCTTTTCTTTTCTTTTTCCTTCCTTCCTTCCTTCCTTCCTTCCTTCCTTCCTTCCTTCCTTCCTTCCTTCCTTCCTTCCTTCCTTCCTTCTCCCTTCCTTCGTCTTTCTATCTCTCTCTGACTTCTGGGGCAGGTTGTTCCCTTCCTCACTCCTGCCATCCAAATGTATAATTATTTTTATGTGCTTATTTTGCTGCATCTTGCACCATCTTGATCATGTAACTATGCAGGTCTCAAGTCCCTTCTGATAGATTATAAGCTCCATGAGGTCAGGGATCTAAAAAAGAATTGAAAGGAGTGAATCTCTCCTTTGGTAGGTTTTTGTAAAAAGTGATTTGTACAAAAATGCTATTTCTACCAAGGACCAAACATTTACGCTCACCAACTCTGTTAATGTATACTTTATATTACTATGTCAAAATAATTCCTCCTTCAGGTACATACCTTCCAAAGCCTGATATGCTACTTGACCATAGTTACTTAATGAAATACTCTTAAATATTTAATTAAGGCCTTAAAACACAGGATATTAAAAGTTTGAAAGGTATTAAAGTTTATCTCTTCAAATCCAACCTTCATTTTACATACAAGGAAACTGAGCCACTGGAAAACTAAGGTGCTTGTGCAAGTATAAGTGTCACAGGCAGGACAATCCACTGGATTGTTCTTATATAATCTCAATTGGATTGTGACTTAGTTTCCAAAAGTGTGTCATTGTCCATGTTTAGGGAATTATTTTTAATCTCCAAAGTCTGCCACACAAGGCTAATTATCCCTTTTCTTTTTTCTCTAGGGGAAATAACTCTGGATCCTGAAACAGCCAATCCTCATCTCATCTTGTCTGAAGATTTGAGGAGCTTCAATTATACAAGCGTCCCCCAGGACCTGCCTGACAATGCAGAAAGATTTGACTGTGCTCTTACTGTACTTGGGGCCCAGACTTTCACCTCAGGCAAACACTATTGGGAAGTGGAGGTGGGAGATAAGACAGAGTGGTCAGTGGGCATCTGTGAAGATTCAGTTAGCAGAAAGGGGACACACTCTCTATCATCCAAGGATGTGAGAACTCTAGCTGCTTTTAAATCTGGAAATGATTTCTTTCTCTGGAATTCACAATGTGGTTTGCGTAAGAGCAAGCCTATCCACAAGGTGGGTATTTTTCTTGATTATGAAAAAGGACATATAGGATTTTACAACGTCACAGACAAATCCCTCATCTACAGTCCCCCAAATGCTGCCTTTCAAGGACCTCTTCGGCCTTATTTTTCTCCTTTCTATCCCAATGATGAAAATATCCCTCCATCACTCATCATCTACCCCTGGAGTAATTAGTAGATGGTTGTCTATGATGCTCATTACTATCAGAATACTCTCAATGACAAGTGACTCTAAATTACACTGAAAATGACCTTCTATTCATTTGAACTTATGTTGAAATGCTTAATAAATTGTGTATGATTATAAAAACCAATGAGAATAAAGTCTTTCTTGTTTGTATCAACATTAATGTGCCTTACTTTGTGTTGATAAATCCGATGTACCTCGCCTCATTGATACTTCACTGAGAGATTAGCAATGTTTTACAAAGCCAATACACAGGGGAACTTTATTATTTTCCTATAGCAAACAGAAATGGATATCACATAAAAATACTGTATATTTCTAAGATAGAAACAAATTATATATGCATATGTATATATGCACACACATATATATTTGTGCATATGTGTTTTTCTGTATGTAAGCACACAAATGTGCTTTTCATTCTTGAATGAGCAGAGTAATTTCTATGTGGATGATATGATGGCCTTACTTTTCTCCTTGCTCTCCTGATAAAGAAAAATAAACACGGATCGCTCATCTGCCTCCAGAGTCATTTGTAGATAGCTGTCAATGATGCTCATTTCTATGGGAGTACTCTCAATTACACCTAAAATGACTTTCTATTCATTTGAAGTTATGTTGAAACGCTTAATAAGTTGTGTATGATTAGGAAGACCAATGAGAATAAAGTCTATCTTGTTTGTACTTGGTATCAACACTTTGTGTGCCTCATTTGTATCAACACCCAATGTGCCCCACCTGACTGACAGTTCACCAGGAGCTTCAGCAATATTCTACCAAGCCAATCCACATATGGAACTCTATTATTTTCCCATAGCAAATGCATTGGATATCACTTACAATCATACATATACATATATGTGTATATGTATTTTTCTGTATTTAAGCACACATCTGTGCTTGCGTATTCTTTACTTTCTTGAACGACCAGGACATTTTCCATGTTGATGGTATGCTAAACTCCTTTGAGTCATGAATGATTTTATCCAAGAAATCCTCCATTACTCCAGGGATGAAAACATCCAGAATAATTTTTTTCACATGTCTCTGGGAGACATCATTATTTGGGAAAAAACAATTTCTACATCTTTGACTTTACAGTGGACTTCCATGCCATGCTCATGTTTCACAAGAATAGGCCTTGAACAGAAACTAGGCGTTGATCACAATCTCACACCATATACCAAAACAAAGTCAAAATGGGTTTATGATTTAGATATGAAGGCTGGTAATATAAGCAAACTGGGAGAGCAAAGAATAGTTTACTTATCAGATTTATGGAAAACAGAAGAATTCATGACCAAACAGGAGATAGAGAACTTTACAAAAAGCAAAATAGCTAACTTTGATTACATTAAATTGAAAAGTTTTTGCACAAACAAAGCTAATGCAACTAAGATTAGAAGGAAGGTAGAAAATTGGGAAATGATTTTTACAACCATTCTCTCTGATAAGGGTCTCATTTCTAAAATATATAGAGAATTTAGTCAAATTTATGAAAGTACATATCATTCCCCAGTTGATAAATGGTCAAAGGATATGAACAGACAGTTCTCAGATGAAGAAATTAAAGCAATCTATAGTCATATGAAAAAATGCTCTAAATCACTATTGATTAGAGAAATGCTAATTAAAACAACTCTGAGGTACCACATCACACCTATCAGATTGGCCAACATGACAAAACAAGAAAATGATAAATGATGGAGAAGATGTGGGAAAATTGGAACACTAATGCATTGTTGGTGGAGTCGTGAAATGATCCAACTATTTTGGAGAACAATTTGGAACTATGTCCAAAGGGCTATAAAAATGTGCATACCCTTTGACCCAGCCATAGCACTTCTAGGGCCATATCCCAAAGAGATCATACAAATGGGAAAAGGATCCACATGTACAAAAATATTCATAACAGCTCTTTTTGTGGTGGCAAAGAATTGGAAATTGAGAGGATGCCCATCAACTGGGGAATGGCTGAACAAGTTGTGGTATATGAATGTAATGGAATACTATTGTTCTATAAGAAATTATGCCCAGCTTCTTGGATAAGAACTCACTATTTGACAAAAATTGCTGGGAAAACTGGAAAAGAGTATGGCAGAACTGAGGCATAGACCAAAATCTTATACCATATATCAAAATAAAGTCAAAATGGGTTCATGATTGAGATATAAAGGCTGATACTACAAGCAAACTGGGAGAGCAAGGAATAGTTTACCTGTCAGATTTATCGAGAACAGAAGAATTCAAAACCAAACAGGAGACAGAGAATATTATGAAATGCAAAAAAGATAATTTTAATTACATTAAATTGAAAAGGTTTTGCACCAACAAAGCTAATGCAACCAAGATTAGGAGGGAAGTAGAAAACTAGGAAAGAATTTTTACAACCAGTGTCTCTTATAAGGGCCTCATTTCTAAAATGTATAGAGAATTAATTCCCCAACGTTCCCCAATTGATAAATGGTCAAAGGATATGAACAGGCAGTTCTCAGATGAAGAAATTAAAGCCATCTATAGTCATACGACAAAAATTTTCTAAATTACTATTGATCAGAGAAATGCAAATTAAAACAACTCTGAGGTACCAGATCACACCTATCAGATTGGCCAACATGACAAAACAAGAAAATGATAAATGTTGGAGAACGTGTGGGACAATTGGAACACTAATGCATTGTTGATGGGGTTGTGAAATGATCCAATCATTTTGAGAGCAATTTGGAACTATGCCCAAAGGGTTATAAAAATGTGTATACCCTCTGACCCAGCAATAGCACTTCTAGGCCTGTATCCCAAAGAGATCATACAAATGAGAAAAGGACCCACATGTACAAAAATATTTATAGCAGCTCTTTTTGTGGTGGCCAAGAATTGGAAATTGAGGGGATGCCCATCAACTGGGGAATGGCTGAACAAGTTGTGGTATATGAATGTAATGGAATACTATTGTGCTATAAGAAATGATGAGCAAGCAAACTTCAGAAAAACCTGGAAAGACTTGTATGGTCTGATGCTGAGTAAAGTGAACAAAACCAGAACATTGTACACAGTAACAGGCACGTTGTGTGATGACTAATGTTGGTAGACTTTGCCCTTCTCAGCAATTCAAGTGCTACAGGCTGAGAGGTTGGGACCCCTCAAAGACTGGAGTACAGGATGGGGTCTTCTGGAATGAATTCACAGACTCAAGCATTCTTTAAGTCAAGTTGGCAAAAAGTTTATTGTTACACTTTTCAGTGGGCAAGTATTCTTAAGGAACCTGTGAGAGACTGAGGATGGAGTTAGGGTTTATATGGAAAAGGGCATGGGAAAGGAATGCCAGGGATACTGATTAGGTAATCTAAAGGTCCAGGTGTCTTTGGGAGCTGTGGATGGGAAAGTGTAGGGAGTATACCAGACAGGGAGAGAGATGTCAGAGGCATGTATCTTGGGAATCTGGCAGGAGGAAGAGTCCCTGGGTCAGCCAGGGACAAAACTCTTTGGGCCAGACAAAGGACCCCCCCATTAGAGAATTCTCTACAACAAGGGAAAGTTTTCTTACAAGACAGGAGCTTACTAAGGAATTGGGAGGCTTCCAGGGACATGATCTTAGGTCTGAGGCCTCAGCAGCCCAGCACTCTATCACCCAGCTTTGTGTAGCTGCACCAGGGAGATAAGGGTCTTGCTGGGACCAATTCATAGGTAATTGCTAGGCGCAGTGTCCATGGGCTGCAGAGAAATCATCAGAGACAGTGTTTTGGAGACTAGGAAGAAATTGGGGTCCAAATACAAGCACAAGCACCCAAACACAAGCACTCAAGCACCCCATCGCAAGGATTTAAGATATCGCGAAAGGTCTCCTGATGGAAAATGCTATCCACATCCAAAGAAAGAACTATGGAGTTTGAATGCAGATCAAAGCATATATTTTGTTATTTTTTTCTTGCATTTTGTTTTGTTTCCTCTTTCGGGTGGTTCCTCCTATTGGTTCTAATGCTTCCTTACAACATGCCAAATGTGAAAATATGTTTAATAGGAATATATATGTAGAGCCTATATCAGACTGTATGCCATCTAGGGAGGGAGGGTGGAGGTAGGGGGAGAGAAATTTCAAACTCGAAAGCTTATGGAAGTGAGTGTTGATATATCAAAACATATTAATAAAAATTAAAAGAAAAAATGATTAGTAAAGGAGACACACACACACACACACACACACACACACACACACAATACTGAAGAAAATAACACCTTAAAAAATAGACTAGGCTTTCTCCTGCGCCTGGGGTTACGGCCGCCGTGGCCCCTCGGAAGATGTAATGAAGCGACACCCTCCCCCCCCTTCCCCACCCCTCTCTTCCTGGGAGACCAGGGTCTGCGCCTGACGGTGGCCCTGGAGGCAGCGGCCTGGGAGGCGGCCACGTCCACCAAGGTGGAGGACGAGCTTGGGCCCTGACCTCCGCCCTCCGGGGTCCCCAAAGCCCGAGAGAAGCAGCAGGAAATGGCAGACAGGCGCTTTTCTTGCTTCTCCACAATGAGATGGTGACCGGTGTCTACAAGTCTACTAGTTATCTCAGCATGCGAGGCAGCTATAGGATTAGCATTACTAGTAAAAATATCCAACAACTATGGCAATGACTACATACAAAATCTAAATTCTAATACCAACATTCATACTAATTCCACTTACCTGATTATCCAAAAACTCATGACTATGAACCAACCTCACATCATACAGCCTATTAATTGGAACCTTTAGCATTACACTCCTATACCAAGATTCAGACCTAGGCACGAACTATAATAGCCTGTTCTGTACAGATTCACTATCAAGCCCCTTACTAGTTCTATCCTGCTGACTACTCCCCCTAATAATAATAGCTAGCCAAAATCACCTAAACAAAGAAAGCATAAACCAAAAAAAAGCTTACCTAACTACACTACTTATCCTCCAACTATCACTAATCACAGCTTTCTCAGCATCAGAACTCAATATTCTATATCAT